AAATACCGTTCTAATGCCTGCATGCCCAGTTTGGAAGAAAAATGGCTATTTAAATTGACAAGTAAAACAATACAATAAAATACTGAATGCTTCTGTTCATTAGCTACTTTTTTTTTTTTTTTTTTTGGTCTTTTTGAGACAGGGTCTCCCTGTAGCCCCAGCTGTCCTGGAACTCACTATGTAGACCAGGCTGGCCTTGAACTCACAGAGATCCGCCTGCCTCTGCCTCCTGAGTGCTGGGATTAAAGGCATGCGCCACCACGCCTGGTGCATTAGCTACATTTTAAGCAGCTTGATAGCCATATGTGGCCGGTGGCTTTCATACTGGCCAGCACAGATGAAGGACATTTCTATCATTGAAGAAAGTTCTACTGGACAGTGGGGATTGATTTTCAGACTAACCTTTCAACTATGAGGAAAAAAATACCAAATTATTTGATGTTGTCCAACAGGGCCATGGAGCTAGACGGTGGTTGAAGTGCAATGCTAACAAATTCTGCCAGTGTCTCTATTACTGTATCACCTCATCCTTTCTCACAGTCAGTGTTCAAGTAGAATTACTGCTTTTTACCTTTTCTTACAATTTCCAGTAAAGTCATAAGAGAAACTGTAAACTCATAGGGGAAAATATTTTTAATTAAAAGATTTAGTAAAAAATAAGATCTTGGTTGGGGATGTAGCTCAGCTGATAGAATAGTTGCGTAGCATGCATGAAACCTTGGGTTCAATCCCCACCATTGCATAAAGTAGGCATGGTGGTACATGCCTGTGAACCCACAGAGAGTTCGGGGAAGTTTGCAATGTATGATACCCCGTTGCAAAACAGGAACATAAAAACAAAGCAAAAAAACTAAGAGTAAAATGCACTTTAATAAATAAAAATTAAGCCACCTGAGGCCGTTGAGAATAACATATTAGAACCTATCAGAAGATAAATCTAAGCTTGTTGTTAAAGATGTAAAATATTTTCTGTCTTCATGCATTTGAAACCTCAAGACTAAAGACAACATTGTCTTTGAATTTTATGTGGAAGGTAAAATTTTATTTTATTGAGACAAGGTCACACTTATGTAGACCAAGCTACATATATCCTGCCTCTTTGGAACTTGCTATGTAGACCAGGCTGGCCTTGAACTCAAGAGATCTGCTTGCCTGCTGGGCTTAAAGGCTCACTCCACCACGCCCAGCCTACATCCAATCTCTTTAAGTGGTAGGATTACAGGCATGAACTATTATGCCTGGCCTAGGTTAAATCTTATTTTTGTCGTATTCCTTCTTGTATGTATCAAAACTCATACTGAACAATGATTTCTGGGTTGCAAAAGAGGATTTATTTTTGCACCTGTCTTTCATGCCTTTGTCCACCAGTTGAACAAACACACACACACCCAAAGTGCTAAGGTTAAATCTTATTTAGCAAACACTTTAAAGATGACAAAATGAGACACACAGAACAATTTGAAACAGTGACTTTCCTAATTTTAGAATGTGGTCATTCAGATTACTTGAGCACTGGTTTTCAGTCATTTAGTAGCTTAATAGGGATGCCATCAATATGCTGTTCTCACAAACTACAATTTTACCTTAGTTTGAACACTATGTTTTAACACAAATTAAAATAACTTGCTTCATTTTCATTTCCAAAATAAAGGACAAGAAGGAACACTTGAGCATCTGGCAAGGCTTAGATACCAAGGTTCTCATACAACCAACCATAAAAAATATAGTAATGCCCTCTTTAAAACAAAAAAAAAAAAACCCTACCAGGCGTGGTAGTCCACGCCTTTAATCCCAGCGCTCCAGATCTCTGTGAGTTCAAGGCCAGCCTGGTCTACACAGTGAGTTCTAGGACACCTGGGGCTACAGGGAGACCCTGTCTCAAAAAGACCAAAAAACAAAAAACCAAAAAAACACCCAAACAAACAAAAAACAACAACAAAAAGTTGTTCTTGTCTAATATGTTTAGAATGCAAATGTTTCCAAAGTCAGTCAACTTGTGTGTCATGACAGTTCATGTTTAAAGTTAGCAGGAAGACTTGGAACTCCAAAGTGATTAAAACTACAAGACATGACTAAAGAGCTCTGTTAAGTTTTTCACACCTAGTATTCAATTCCATGTAAATATTGGTTGTTGGAGTTTACATAAAGTCAAATAATCTAATGGTTATAAACCATGGCCTACCATAAAGACATTATGAAGATACTCAAGACAGCCTTTGCCATAACCTGCAAAGTACCCACAAGCCTTCAATATGCGTTTCCTCATAAACAGAAGCCACTTGCTATTCAGGAGGTGGTGCAAAAAACCAAAACCCCTCAAAAAACAACCCCCCAAACTCACAGCTATTTTCTTTCTAAACACTCTTTGGTTTTGAGGTAAATAACTGAAAAATAACAGTCTAAAGCACCCAAGAGCAAAGCAACAGTCTCTATTATGGGGTGAGGAGGAGGAAAAAGTGCTCCTTTAACAGGCAATTAGGGATTAAGGTAAAATTTATTCACTGTAATTATTATTATTATTTTTTTGGTCTTTTTGAGACAGGGTCTCCCTGTTATTCACTGTTTTTTAAACCAGATGCATCACTTCTATATTATGTTTTGACTCTCACTTCACCATATTAGGAAGAGGACATGTATCCCCAGGATTTTTATGCTAATGAAACTACTAGGGACAACACAGCTCACCAAATGAAGGACATCATTAGAAAAAACAGTGAGCACCAATAGGTATGTCTGAAAGTGGCTGTCAAATGATAGATTCTGGTGCACATTAATGTAGGGATTAAAAATAAAGGACACTCAAAAGTGCTGCACACATTTCAAGTCTCCTGTAAGAGAGTTGTGAAAAAGGATTTATTTGGGGCAAGGGAGATGGCTCAATGTAAAGGCACCTGTTGCCAACCCTGAAAACCTGAGCTTGATTCCCTGGTTCCACATGGTGGAATGAGAGCACCACTCTCTCAAATTGTCTTCTGACCTCACACAAGGCTGCCCTCCCCCCCAAATAAATAAATGAAATAAAAGGGGCATTTGTGAAGCAGGGCCTTCCCTTTTGGAGGAGACATGGGTTTGCAAAAAACCCAAAGTCAAAATGAGGGAAGAGCTCTGGCCATTTGTCTAGCAGGTGTTGCTCCTCTCAGCTTCAACACTATTCCCAAGGGGCAATTTTAGGCCTCCTTAGGTAAAGAGCAGCAAGCAAAATTACACTCTGACAGTACTACGAAGATGGTGTTAAAATTCTCACTTCCAAAAGAAACAGCCACGACAACCTCACATTGCAGTTCGCTAGTCTCCTGGAGAAGAGTCGCAGTCATCCTTAGTCACGTAAGCCTGCACACCAGAAACTCAGCGAAGTTTTCAGTTGGCCTTCACTATCTCTTAACACCCCCTCCCCCTTTCCTCCACACTTCCCTGCTGTTCTTTCCCGGCACACAAAATATAGGCCAATGAGCAGTGGGTGGGTGAAGAGGATGTGAGAAAAAAAATTGAGAAGTAAAAAAGGGAGCAACTTAACCAGGACATGAATGAGACTGAAGGGTCTAATAAGGGCAGCAAACAAGCAGCGGAACGACCGAAAAACCAGCAGGGGCTTTCCTGGGCGGTAGGGGGTGCTCAGCGCCGGCAGGTGTTGAAGTAAAGGTCAGACTACCTACCACTTGTCAGAAGCTGGACAGGGGGCGGCTGCTTTGGGTGACTTCTAGTGTCTCTTCCGACTCTGCAATGTTAGGATTGAACATAAGGATGACAGAAGCCCAGGGACTTGGAACCCTTCCGAGCAAGCAGCCTTGGTCGTGGCTGCCCCACACCACTCCTCCGCCTCCCTCCCACACATGCCCACCCCGCCCCCTTTCAATAGCATCATCTCCACGTGCACAATGCCTCGCGGCACTGGCCCCACTTGGGGGGGGGCGCTCCCTCCCCTGCTAAGGCCTGGATTATGAGTGTCCCTACCTACAGTCCCCCGGAAAGTGAAGACAGCACTCTCCCACCTTGGGCAGCTAAACAAGGAAAAGTCTCCGATCTAGTCTTTCTCCTCAGCTAGAACAGCGTTTAGGGGGTGTGTATTGGGGGTGTGGGAGCAGAGAAAAACTTTCTTTTCCTTTTTAAAAAAACTCTCCCACAGAGTAGAGAGAACCCCAAGTCCGGGGCTAAGGGGGGAGGGGAACCCCTGAACGTTTAACCGCCGGCAGGGGGAGGGGAGCCCCGGAGGTGCAGGGGGCGTGGGATGGAGAAGCAGGCCTGGGAGCTGCGGGGTTCCTGAGGCTGGGGAGCTGCGGGCGTCCCCCCCACCTGGCACACAAAGCAGCTGCCGCGCTCGGCTCTCACCAGATCCTTTGTGTTTTCCATCAGGGCCTCATGGGTAGGGGCCGTCCGTGCTCCCCGAGCCCGCGGTGCCCCCTCCCCCCGAGCTGGGGGGCAGGCGCCTCTCCCCCGGGCTGCGGCGACTACAGGGGGGGGACTCCCGGCTGGGCCCGGACCCGCGGCGGTAGCGGCAGCCCCCGGATTTCCCCCCTTTAACTCGGGTGGCCCCAGGATATCAACAACATTAGCATAGCCCTCCCTCCCCAGCGCGCCTGCGCCGTGACCCGCGCCCCGATTGGCCCACTGGCCCACGTACCCTCCTCTCTCCCCTCCAGCGTGGGACCCTCTGCAGGCGCCGTACTCTTAAGGACCGTACCAAGGCGAAAGGACACTGAGGTAACGCGGAATCTCGGCAGGTCACGGGGAGGGGCTCCAAGTCAGCAGGAGGCGAAGTTTCTCTCAGGCGCCCTCATTTGTACTCTGGCTTTCCGGAGTTCCTTCCAGTGTAGCGCTGAGAAGTTGTGTTGGGGAAATTTTCCACTCCAGTCACGCCGCTTCCCCCCACACCCGGAAGATCGGCCCTCCCAGTGGAACTCCCACACGGGGAGGGGCCGGCCAGGGGAGTGGGAGTGACGTAGCGCCTGAGCACTGGTCACGTGGCCCGAGGCTGCGCAGGCTCCTTCCGGCTTCCCGGGGCCTGGCCGTAGCGGCGTGCGAGACGCCCCGGCACATGCGCAGTAGAGCTCCACGTGAACGTCTGCGTTTCTTCTCAGACCCCACGATGCCGCCGGAACGCAGGAGCCGAACGAAACCAGACAGGAGAGCCGGAGCGGGGCCGGAGCGGAAGCCCGCGAAGAGGACGGATCGAGGAGCCGAGGCCGGGAGCGGCAGGACGCTCCGAAAGGCTGCCCGTTCATCCCCACGGACACCGCCGGCCCAGCCGAGCGCCGCAGCCAGCGCGGTCAGCGCCGCGGCGGAGGAGAGCTGGCTCCGGCGGCGGAACCGCCTGGCGCTGGAGGACGACAAACCGGCCGCCGAGCGCTGCCTGGAAGAGCTGGTGTTCGGCGACGTCGAGGACGACGAGGACGCGCTGCTGCGGCGGCTGCGAGGCGCGCGGGTAAGGGCGGCCTGCGCTCAGACCCCGCGTTCGTTCCGGCGGGGCGCGCGGTGGGCGGCGAGGCTGGGGGGGCGGAGCCTGGTTGACCTGCGGCGGCGAGCGCTCAGGTGGGAGGGCTCCCCGAACGCGGGCGCCGAGGTGCCTGCGAGCTCGAGAGGGCGGCTACGCCGTCTTTCTCCGCCCAGGGGCCGCCGCCGCGCGCAACCACCGACGTCTTGGTCGCTGGAGCGGAGCATCTTTAGCCCGGGTTCCGCTACCCTCTGCTGGAACCCTGGGGTGGTCGTCGCATCGCCCGTGGCCATTCTCGAGGTCCCTTTCGGGGGCACCGGGCGCGAAGCTGCGTGTGAGCCACCTCTCCACACGCGCAGCATACAGCTGGCTTCTGAGAATGATCGGTGTGTTGGTCTTTTTAAGTGTTCGCCAGTGTTTGTGTTTCAGACGCTCTACGTGGCGGTCGCAGCCCTGAGTGTAATTTTTGCACTGTTCGTCATTACTTTTATTCTATACCTGGTTCTTCGACCAAGGTAGAGGTTCCCAGGCATTGTTTTAGAAATTTGGAGGAGACAAAACCTCCTTCCTTCTTGGAGCTAGTAGTGGTAGAAAAAGTATAAAGGAGGCAAAATTAGTAAAATTCAGCCTTTGGTGACAGCTGCTGGAGAGGAAAATTAAAACATTTGGGAAAGGGAAATAAATTTATGTGGTGGAGGCCTGTGAAATTTTAGGTAGGACGGCCAAAGAGCCTCACTGAGAATTACTGGCAGCGTTTCTAAATTAATGTTGAACTACGTGCTAGTTGCCTTCTTCGGGGTCCTTCAGGGAGAAGCTGCAGCAAGTCTGTCTAGTTTCGGAGGTGGATAACAGTTACTGCAAAATACTGAACTGGTGACAGTTACATGGCCACAAGGAACGGTCTGTGAGGCAGGATTTGTTGGGCCTTGAAAGAGCTCACTTAAACCAGCAGTAGTACAGGTAGACCTCCCTGTGAACTCTGGTCATGTGGGTTGAGGAACGCTGAAGCTCGTTTGAAGGGGATTTTTGTCGCCTCTTTAGATTTGGTAGTATGGTCTAAAATTATAAGGCTGTTGAGACCAAGCACAGGAAACAAAAGGTCCATCTTAGAGTATGAGACAAAGATTGTTAGCTTCGAGTCTAGACCACCTTGGGTTCTGAAACTCGTTCTTACTGTCTACTTACCTTTTGTGTTTGTCTAACGTCTTTTGGTGTGTTGACTCCTTGGCTGTTGATCCTGCTTCACGTGTTCACCAGGTGGTTCTGATTTCTGATTTGGTAATTTTCTGCCTTTTTCTCCAGTGTTTACTGTAGTAGCATTCCATCATGTTACTTCCTCAGCAGACCACAAAAACCATTCCGCAAGCCCTCTGAGTACAAGTCATGGCTTGAGGTGGTTTTTCTTCTGTAGGGTCAACTCTGTGGAAGCTCAGATGATGTGGAAGTGGAGAATGAAACCAAGGACAATTTCCCTCAGCAGAAGAAGCCAGTTTGGGTGGATGAAGAAGATGAAGATGAGGAAATGTGAGTTACCTCATTCCTTTTAGGGTCCCTCTGGACACTTTAAAGTTACTTTGTAGATTTAACAAATCACTGTCTCTAGAAGTATGTAATTATAGGAAGGATTGAAGAACTTTTAACAGTTCCGAAAAAAGGTGGTTTATGATTTTGTCTTGCCAGAACCACTGTTATATTGGCATGGGTATTTCTGTCTCTTCTATGCAGGATAGGCTAGCTGAGGGAACTCAAGAGTTTGGAGTTTGAGCTCAGCTTGCCTCCTTAAGTGACCAGTTCTAGATTACTATCAGCAAGTTTGGAATCTACCTCTATTTGTAAAATGAGAATAATAATAATAGTAATTGCATCAGAAGGCTATTTGTATTGAATAATGCATGTAGAATTTTTAGCATGAAACTGAGTGAAGGCTTATAAGAAAACTAGCATACTGTGTGTTTTCATAGATGAAATGATACGGTAGATTCACTTTAATATCTTTACTTTTTCTGAGGATAAAAATATGTTAACATTCCCCCCCCACTTTAAGAAGAAACATTTATAAACAGTTATAAATGGCTGTTTTGTAGTTCTTTCTATGAATTAAACCATAATTTATTGGCAAGATGGAGTTTCCTATTTTTCCCTTTAATAATGCTGGATAAACATCTTCATGGATAAACTTTTTTTTTGTGTGTGTGTTTGTTACTGATTCCCTAAAATTTCTTTGGAGGTCATATTATTTGACTAAAGTGCAGACACTTTTTTTTTTTGGTCTGTTTGAGATGGACATCTTGTAGCACCAGCTGGTGGTACTCCTCGAACTCACAGAGATCCGCCTCCCTCTGCCTCCCAAGTGCTGGGGCTACAGGCGTGTGCCACCATGTCCGGCAGAGTGCAGATACTTTTATAGCTGCTGATAACTATTACCAGACGGTGCATGAGTTTATCTTCCCCATGGAAAGTGGATTTCAGTCATGAGCAGTGATCCCCCCCCTCCACTTTCTTAGTTTGATGATAGGAAAATTAAATTATGTTGAGGAAAAACTAATAATTATAGGCTTTTTTTTTTTTTTGGTCGTTTTGAGGCAGGATCTCCCTGTAGCCCCAGCTGGCCTGGAACACGCTATATAGACCAGGCTTGCCCAGAACTCAGAGGTTCGCCTGCCTCTGCCTCCTGAGTGCTGGGATTAAAGGCGTGCACCACCACGCCCGACTGGCATTTCTTATATATGTGCATTCTCTATTATGTCTTTGTCTTTTAGAAACCCTAGTGTCTCAAATTCCTTACATACTGAAAATTTTAGACTTCTTTATGCTGGGGATTAAACCCAAGGCCTGTGCATACTAAGCATGTACTCTGCGTTTTAGTATTGCTCTTACCCCTCCTCCTTAAAAACCTTTGCATACTACCTTTACTGCATGTTTTATCCATGTTTCATGTGTACAGATGTTTTCAAATTTTAATACAGTCAAATCTTTGACTCTTGTTTTTAACAGTAAAATGTCCTTTATCAGAGATATACAATGGTTTGCTTATAAAATATAGGAAGTATTTGAAGGTTTGTTTTTGCATATTTTGACTTCCTGGGATGATTTTGGAGAGCCACACGAAGTGTGTCTAGGTAAGTCAGGATGAGTCTTCTCTTACTAGCTCAAGATTGTGGAGAATATGCTATGAGATACTCGATGTCTTACGGTCTTGAATTTTTACTGTTTTATTGTATGTTTCTTCAAAATACTACTGAAGGCAGCGCCAATTTATGATGGCTATATAAAAATCATTTAAAATATGCTGTTCTGTTTTATAGGGTTGACATGATGAACAATCGATTTCGAAAAGATATGATGAGAAATACCAGTGAAAGTAAACTTTCAAAAGATAAGCTTCAAAAGAGACTTAAAGAGGAGTAAGTATCCTTTATACCTGTGATTGAGCAAGAGGTGTATAGACAGCCATTTAATTTTGCCGTTCCGTTTGCTTTTTGACTGTAACAGCTTTTTGGATAGTCTGCATATATCATGAAATAGTAGGGGTTGCTGCCTAGTGACTTCATGTAAGTATTTGGGGCGGGGTAATACAACAAACAAAACTGAGGGAAAAAAGAAGACTTGAAGTGTACTATTCATTTGTATATAGTAGGTCATTTCTTTATCAGAACTTTCTTTCCCCCCCACTGAGGTGGAGTCCCACTGTATAATCTGACCTCAAAACTCTAGATCCTCCTGCCTCAGCTTCCTGAATGTTGGAGGTACTGACATGTATTACTCTGCTTACCTTTCACCGTTTTTTTTTTTTTTTTTGGTCTTTTTTTGAGACAGGGTCTCCCCAGTGGCCCCAGCTGGCGTAGAACTCACTATGTAGACCAGGCTGGCCTCGAACTCACAGATAACCATCTGCATCTACCTCCCTAGTGCTGGGATTAAAGGCTTGCACTGCCATGCCTGGCCTTTTACCATTTTTTAAAAATTTATTTTAAAAAATATTTACTTTTTTATGTGTATGAGTGTATTGCCTGCATGCAATGCATGAAGAGGTTAGAAGGGGTCATCAGAACTCCCTGGAACTGGCGTTATGGACAATTGTTAGCTGCCATGTAGGTGCTGGGAACTGAACCCAGGTCCTCTGTAAGAGCAGCCAGTGCTCTTAGCTGCTGAGCCATCCATCTCTCCAGCCCTGCACCTTCACCATTTTATGGTAGGAAAAATTTCAAAAATTTAAACACGTGTTGTACTTGGATTCATTTTAAGAAAGAAAAAGAAAAAATCAAAACAAAACTTGTGCCATATAAGCTTTATATGCCTGGGTACATGTGTTTCCCAAACTATTTAGGAAGAAGGTATGACTAATGTAATAGCCCCTAAATTCCTCAGTGTGTATCACCATAAGATTAAGGAGGTTTTCCTGCATATATGCATTATCATTATTTTGCCTAAAAAATTAGTAGCTAACCAGTTTATTAATTTCTCTAGTTCTCTTGAACCTTCTAATCCAGCATACTTACCTTTATTTTTGTTTCCATGGTATTGATTTTTTTTTTTTTTTTTTGATAGAGGGTCTCTCTGTAGCCCTAGCTGACTGCCTATGCCTCCGAAGTGCTGGGATTAAAGACATGAGTCACCAAGCCTGGCCCAATATTCATTTCTTAAAATAATTTTTTTTTCATTTAGTACTCTGTGTGTGTGTGTGTGTGTGTGTGTGTGTGTGTGTGTGTGTGTGTAGGTGAGAGGACAGGTTGCAGAAAGTCTGTTCTCTCTTTCCTCCATGTGAGTTCTAGGGATTAAATTTAGATTGTCAAGCTTGGTGGCAAGTGCCTTAACCTGCTGATAGCTGGCCCAGAGAACTTTGTTTTATTTCTGAGACTGGGTCTCATGTAGCCCAGGCAGGTCTGGGCTATCATGTTGCTGAGGATGATCTTGAACTTTTGATCTGCCTGCTTCTATCTCCCGAGTGATGGAATTACAGGTTCATCCCACTATACCTGGTTTTATGTGGTGCTGGGGATTGAACTCAGGGTTCTGTGCATGGTGGAACTTTTCTGTTGTTAGTTTTTTATTTTTTGATTATTCTGGGGATTGAATCTAAGGCCATGTTCATGCTAGGTAAGCACTGTACTGCAGAACTTACTCCCTCTCTCATCCTTCCCTTAACTTTTTATTTTGAGAGAGACTTCCTAAGTTGACCAGGATGGCCTTGAATTCTCTTGTAGTCCTGGGCCTTGAATTCTCTCTGTAGTCCTGGAGTCTTCAAATGTAAGCACCTCTTCCTTGAGCTTCCCGAGCAGCTGGCGTTAAAAGCCAATGTCATCAGGCTCGAATGAAGCTTTGATGAAGTTTTGTGTATATTCTGGTCATTTGTTTTCAGTCATGCTCCTTTCAGGTGTGTTCTGTCATGTATCTCTAAACTCTGGCATTGGTTATAACCAAGGAGACCACATAGTTGCTAATATCTAGGATGCACTGATATGAGCAAATAGGACAGCCGTGTAACTGAACAGCAAATATGGATCTAGGTGTGCCCTGTTGGGTTTGGCGTAGATGGTTTTAAGTTCCCAGTACAGGGAGCTTGGGACCATTCTATGCCAGTAAAGATAACTTTTGTTTTTAAAGGTGGTAACTTTGGAACAGAGATTCTATATTATCTAAAGGGTGCTAAGGATTTTAAACCAGCTGGGTCTGTGAGCCTTTGGTAGTTACCATGTGTGTTTTTTGTCCTCCTAGATTCCAGCATGCCATGGGAGGAGTACCTGGATGGGCAGAGCCTAGGAATAAGCGGAAAACATCTTCAGAGGGTGAGTGTTGGGATCGCTAAGTTACTAAGTAAGTCCCTTTCCCTATTTTTCTTTAGACCTTTCTTAGTCACCTTAAAATACAGTGTTTTAAATACCTCCCCCCCCCCCCCCCCCCCCCCCTTTTAAAACCCCCTCGTGAACTACAAAAATGTGTAACCTTGCTCTTTGATTGTCCTGGAACTTACTATGTAGACCAGGCCGGCCTTGAACTCACAGAGATCACCTGCCTCTGCCTCCCGAGTGCTGGGATCAAAGGCATGCGCCACCACACCCAGCTTTCAAATGATTGGTTTTTAAGGTCTCATTTCTTTCAGGAAGAAGCCCCCCTTCTTTGTGGTAGTGTAAGGCTTATTTAATACACGTTGATTTTCGCTACCTTAATATTTGCTTCAGAATCTAATGCTTTTGGAGCTTATAAGTTTGAAACTTTTGAGGCACCAATTTTTTCAAGCTACAAATGGAAAATTCTACAGTATGAAACTTTATTTTATGCATGGAATTACTGAAAGTATTATAAAAAGTGACTACAGCAGTGTGTAAAGGTATGTATGAAGTGAATTTCATGTTTAGTTTTGTGTCATCCCTGAGATATTTTGTTATGTGTACACAAATATTTTGAAGTTTGTACAGGTGATGCTGAGCAGTCAGATAGGGAACAGTCAACAGCATATTTCTTTCTCAACAGAACTAAGTTGTTTATGGCATAAGATTAAGGAAAAAAGAGTAATACTTAATTCAGAGCCCCCTCTGAAGACATTGGCAGCTAATCTGTCAACTTCAAAATGGGATGTCTGTCAATGGAGCACATGTCAGATCAAACTCCAGGTTTTAAGATTGCCTTGTGGGGTCTGAAGAGATGGCTCAGCAGTTAAGAACACTGATTATTCTTGGAGAAGACCTGGGTTCATATCCCCGCACCCACATGGCAGCTAACAAACTGTCCGTATCTCTAGTTCCAGGGGATCTGACGGCCTCTTCTGTCCTCTGTGGGTATTGTACAACATGGGTGCACTTTCCTACATGCAGGTATAACATACACATAAAGTAAAAATAATAAAATATTTTAAAAAAGAAAAAAGATTGGCTTGTGTTATTACTATTTTCTGTCTTAGCTCATTTGACTTTAGCTATTATAAATATAGTTGGTTTAGCCAAGTTCTGATTTGTTTGCACAGAGGTATAAAACTTAGAATATTTAAAATCCTTGAGCTATCCTTTTGTGTTAGGATCCTCATTCTTAGCATCCTTTTATAGGTCTCACCTGGAAGTCGTACATGATTCTTTTGCCTCAGTCATGAGGCCACACTAACTCTAGGGAGGCTAGAAAATCTGGTGTTGTGCCTAGGAGTAAAAGGAACTGTTTAAGCCAGTAAGCCAGCAACTCATCTGTTATGTATAGAAGAGACTGGTCTATACATTGTTACAGAAGAGAGAAGTTAAAAGATACAGTGACTTGTGCAAGTTAAAAGATACAGTGACTTGTATAAGGTATACTTAATTGACAGAGTGGCAATGAGAGCCCAGATTCTTGTTTCTTTCCAAGGTGGTAACTAAATACTTGAGTTTTCTAGATTTCTTTTCTCCTGTAATATAAACTGGATATATTTGGATCTAATTGTCTTTCCACTTACTTTGGCACACTGTTAAAAATATACATTGAGGGATAAATTATAATTACTGTCCTTTTCAGTTCTAGAATTTCCATTTGTTTTTGGCTTTTTTCCCCTTTTTTTTTTTAAATTGAGATTTTGCAATTTTCGTATAGTACAATTGATGAGATATTTAGAACCCCTCCCCTATTCCCACATCCTCTTACTGCCCCCCGCCTGCCCAATTTAATGTAATACAATTTATAAAACATACATATATATATACACATATACATACACACACATATAAATATATAAGGCCTATAGGGTCTAATTTGTGTCCTCAAATGTCCTTCAGTATTGGTTCATCCACTGGAGCCTAGTTAACCTACCAAGAGTCCCGTGCTTGAAAGAGACTATCTCTGCCCCTCCCATCAGCCACAGTTTCCTTAGATGGGGTTGGAGCTTCTTACCCACTTCCTCATGTCCATGTTGGGACTTTCTGTGGTTTGAGCTTGCATAGTTTTTTGAGAGGTGGGTGGTCTCTTATAGCTGTCCCTGAACTCTTAATCCCTGCCTCTACCTCCCAAGTGCTGAGATTATAGGTGAGAGCCACCGTACTTTGTTTTTTCAGTCTAGTTCTTTGACTTAATTCTGAGCGATGGTTTTTTTTGGTTTTGTTTTTGTACATGTAGTAAGCCGACGTGGTGGCATATGCCTGTAGTCTCAGCACTTAGGAGTGGAGGCAGGAGGATTGCTGTAAGTTTGAGGCCAGCCTGGACTACATTAGACTGTCTCAAAAGAAGAAAAAGAAACAAAATTTAAAACAAAGGGACTGGAGAGATGACTCAGTTGTTAGGAGCTTATTGCTCTTGTAGAGGATCTGCTTTTGGTTCCTAGCAGCTGTTAGATTACTCACAGTCACCTGTAACTTCAGCTCCAGGGAATCTAATACCCTTCTCTGACCTCTGGCCACCTGTGCACGTACGGACACATAAATAAAAAGCAAAATGAATTGCATTTTCTAGATCTCCTGTGGAGATTGTTTGATTTTCCTTTTGTTTTTCAATCAAATTACCCTTTCGTCAGTGTTGGCCTGCTTATATCTCATAGAGGGCTTATATTTCATGGGAAAAGTATTAGGGATTAATTAGATTTAGGACAGTGGTTTATTTCTGAATAGTTAGCTGGGCAGGGGCTACTAGTAATCCCACAGCCTTTATTTATTTTGAATCTTTATTCCAGTGAATTATAAATATTCAAAGCTGGGTATCATTTCTTGGAAGATTTTGTTACAACAATTCATCCTCATTTCCTTCTGTGGCCTTGATGAAAAGCCTGGTGATTTATGAGAACCCTTCAAGAAACTTCACAGTGTTAAAGTACTAGTTCTTTCTTTCTTTATCCTCTGAGTAATTTTAAAAGTCTGTGTAGCTTCTTGGCTGCTCCCCAGCAGAATCATCAATTTTTGCCTAGGGGCAAAGAAGCCATTACCTGTCTTTGAGCTTTGTTTTTTGTTTTTAATTACAGTTTTATTTGGGGGTGGGGTGTGGTTCAAAGGAAAGCCTGTGGGAGTCAGTTCTCTCCTTCCACCATGTAGGTCCTGGGGATCAAACTCAGGTTATTAGGTTAGGTGGCAAGTGCCTTCATCAGCTTATTGAGGTTCTTAAACACAGTTGGTGACACTGATCTTTTTATTTCCATGTGAGCTGTTGAGCTGTATCTGCTGTTTACCCTGTTGCTAATTTTGCCGTAGTTATGAGTTGCTCTTTTTAAATGAAATGCTAGCTTTATTTAAATTTTCTCACTTCATCTTTAGTAACCATCTGTGTGTGTTCCTCTGATTCCAGTCAAGCTTTGATTTTTAACTAATACATATGTATATGTATATTAAGTGCTACATCATCTTTTTCTTTAATTATGTTTTGTTTTTGTCACTTGCAGCTTTCAAAAAATGATGGAGGTTGGGAGGCTAGGATGGGAATTGAATTTGGAAATAGACGTGGGTTGGTAAAGGGCCTTCTCATTTCTAAAGATTACCCTTTGTGGGTTTATTTGACTCAGATGAAAGTGAAGAGGATGAAGATGGTTTGTTGCAAAGGACTGGGAATTTCATATCCACATCCACTTCTCTTCCAAGAGGAATTTTGAAGGTGAGAGTTGGTGAAGTTGGAACCTATCCAGTTGCTGACTTGTAAAATGAGCTCTGCTTCGTAGCTGTATGTATAGATTCCTCCTATGTGTGGGATTAATGTGTTTGCTGTTACTTGCTTTAATAGTTGTAAGGTTTTCTTTTGCAAAAATGAATGTGAGGTTTTCTTTTCTTTTGCAAAACTGATCAAGAGGTAATTAATTTTGTCCCCTGTATGTCTAGATCCTGTTTGATTTCATTTCCATTGATAGCAGTCTCCTCCCTGCTGCCACCGTCCCTCTCAGCTGCCATCTCACTTAGCTTCTATCCCTCTCAGCTGGTCTACTTCAGTGACTTTGTGACTGGCCTCTCCACTTCTCCTTTACATCCTCCTGTATACTGTTATTAACAGAATAGTACCCAGAAGGAACTTTTAAAAATAAAGTATCATTTTATGCCCCTTTCCTTGCTTTTTGAATGAATTTCATCATAGTCTACACTGCCCTTCATGATCTGACTTGTACACACATCCTCAGCTTTGTGTCAGACTTCTTAGTTCCTGCTTGGAGTAACATGGACTGCTTTGTTTCTTAAACGTACTGGGTCCTTTCTTAGGCCTTGGAACCCTTGACCTTGCTCTTCCTTCTGTCCCTTCCTCAGGCATTGCTAGTGGCAGCTGTGTCTTAAGTACCACTTTAGAAAGGACTTTATCTACAGTGCCCATTTTACTTTTCCTGTATCTGGTATGTTTATTGTAGTAATCAGAGTCTTCCCCAGCACAGTGCCAGTTAAAAATTTGTCAAATTAACAGACCTGTTTATGTCATAAACATTTTCCTTACTATAAAATGGTATTTATGTAGATGCAGCCATGAGAGTATTATGGTAAATTACAAGTAGATGAATGGCTTGTCCTCCTCAGATCATTCAGCTTTTAGGGGCTTAATTTACCTCCATTGAAAATACAATTCAGTGATGGTGCACATGTTTAATCCCAGAATCTGGAGGCAGAGGCAGGTGGATCTCTGTGAGATCAAGGCTAGCCTTGTCTACATAACAAATTCCAGGCCAGCCTGGAAACCTATCTAAAACAAACAAAAAATCAGGATTTTAGGGTTATCTCTTGAGAGGGGGGAATGTTAGACTATCAAAAAGCCCCCATTTAAATAAATAAATAAATAAATAAATAAATAAATAAATATTAAAAAAAAAAGTACATGAAGGTGACAGAAAAAAGTGATGGGGAGATGTGGGAGGAGTTGGAGGGGAGGGAGTGGGCGTGGATTTGATCAAAACACCTTATATGCATGCACCTTATATGCATGTATGAAATTCTCAATTAAAAAAAAAGCACTGGCTGTTCTTAAGAAGGCCCTGGTTCTAATCCCAGCACCCACATGGCAGCTAACAACCATCCATAACTCGGGATCTGATGCCCTCTTCTGTCCTCTGGGCATTGCCTGACATGGGTGTACTTACATGCATGCAGTACATGCATGCACATAAAATGAAAATAAAACAAAAATGAATTTTAAATAAAATTAAAAAGTGATAGGTAAAGCTGTATTTTAAAAAAAAATGAGGTTCCCATAAAAATTTAGTGATGCTGAATAAAGATCATGCGATGCTTTATTAGTTCCTAAGTGAAGTGTGTTTTGTGTTTTTTTTTTTTTTTTTAAGTTAGGATACTTATTTTATTTTATGTACTTAAGTGTTTTGCCTGCATGTAAATGTACCGTTTTGGGGGCTGGAGAGATGGCTCAGCAGTTAAGAGCACTGACTGCTCTTGCAGAGGACCCGGGTTCGATTCCCAGCAGCCACATGGCGGCTACAAACCATCCTTAACTCCAGTTCCAGGGGACTCTGAAGCCCTCTTCGGACTTCTGTGGCATTGCACGACACGGGTGCACTCACATACATGCAAGCAACACACTCATATACAGAATTAAAAAAAAAAATAATATATTTTTTAAAATGTATGGTTTTGTGCAGTGCCTGCAGAGGCCAGAAAAAGGTGTCAGATACTCTGGAACTGGAGTTACACATGGTTGGTAACTGCCATGTGGGTCCTAGTAACTGAACCCAAGTTCTTGGCAAGAGCAGCCAGTGCTCTTAACTACTGAGCCATCTCTCCAGCTCCTTACATGAAGTTTTATTGTAGGGGGATGCCTGTAACAAAAAGAGAAATAGCTGAAAATATTCCAAGTGATCCATGAGATTACCATGCTTTAAACCGGTAGCCATGTGTTCTGAGAGGAGAGTGTAGCAGTCCGATGGACTGTAGAGCTGTGGAAATAAACACATAGGCCTGTTGAACTTAGGTCAAGTGTTTTAGCTTAAATTTCTATAGAAGTTCAAGTGTCTCTCTCTCTTTTGGTCTTTTTGAGACAGGGTCTCCTTATAGCCCCAGCTGGCCTGGGACTCACTGTGTAGACCAGGCTGGCCTTCAACTCAAAGATCCACCTGCCTGTGCCTCCCGAGTGCTGGGACTAAAGGCGGGTGCTACCACACCCAGCACAGAAGTGAAAATCTTTTAACTCAGATAAATCTTTGGGCAATGATTGAACACTTGTACTCAAAAAATGTTTAGTGAACTTAGACTTGTACATGTCAAAAAGTATATTAGACATTTCGTTACTATTTCAAAAATGCCTGACAGAACACCTTAAAAAGGAGAAAAGACTTACTTTGGTTTGCAGTTTGAGGTGGTTCTGTCTGTTGTCTGCAGAGCATCATGATGGAGGTGGGTATAGAGGAGTAAAGTTGGTTACCTCAGAGTGGCCAGGAAGCAGAGAGAGGTACAAGAAGGGGTCAGGGCCAAAATACAGTCCTAGGGACATGCCCCCAGTGACCTGCTTCCTGTAGTTAGACCTTACCTTGAAAGTTTCCAGCCCCTTCCAAAGTAGACCTACCTGCTTAGAATCTAGTCTTCAACCCATGAGCCTGTGGGTTGTAGAGGACATTTCATATTCAAATCGTAATGAAAGGACCTTCATGACTTAATCTCTTCATTTCAGAGTTAATAAAGATGGATTCTTGTGTAGTAAAGTGACTTGGTACTTGATACCAAAGTTGTGATTTTTTTTTTTGGTTAGTATTTTAGTTCTCCATCATAAACCATGTTTCTGCCTTCCTTCTCTAAATGAGGTTGGTCCATTTGATAAAATTCCAGCTTTATATTTTTACAGATGAAGAACTGCCAGCCTGCCAATGCTGAACGGCCCACCTCTGCTCGGATTTCGTCAGTGCAGTTCCATCCTGGTGCACAGGTGGTGATGGTCGCTGGGCTAGATAATGCCATCTCATTGTTTCAGGTATGCATATTTAAATGAAGTTTTGGACTGAAAAGTATTTACTCCCAGAATTCAGGATCTATGGAAATAACTAAAAGAACATTTTTTTTTTTTTTACTTTCTTATAGGTTGATGGCAAAACAAATCCTAAAATCCAGAGCATCTATTTGGACAGGTTTCCAATCTTTAAGGCTTGTTTTAGTGCTAATGGAGAAGAGGTTTTAGCCACAAGTATGCACAGCAAGGTTCTTTATGTTTATGAGATGCTAGCTGGAAAGTTAATTCCTGTACATCAAGTGAGAGGTAAGACTGCTGCTGGACACACAGCTTACCGATCATCTAACCCTCTCATCCCAAGCTGAATTTATTTACCAGTATTTCTAACTACTTTTTTTTTTTAACCTCAGAGGATTCTTTTTGTTTTGTTTTGGTCATTTTGAGACAGGGTCTCCCTGTAACCCTGGCTGGCCTGGATGGAACTCACTCTGGAGACTAGGCTGGTCTTCAACTCACAGAGATCTGCCTGCCTCTGCCTCCCTAGTGCTGGGACTAAAGGCATACACCAGCATACCCAGCTTGGATTCTTTTTTGAGGGCAGGCAGTCATTGAGAAGTAGAATAATAGCTCCCTGCAGCAGGGAGTGCTTCTAAAAATGGGTTGTCCCCCCGCCCCCCACGTCCCCATTTCTTCCCCTAGAAAATTCTTGGTCTTTATGAGATGGTCTCCCTGTAGCTCCAGCTGTCCTGGAACTCACTATATAGACCAGGCTGGCCTAGAACTGAAAAGAGATCTGCTTCCCTCTGCCTCCTGAGTGCTGGGATTAAAAGTGTTCACCACCATGCCCAGATTTCCCAGAAGATTCTTAAAAGTAAAGACTTATTTTATTTTGTTAGTAGTATTTGGAGATTGCCTTGTGCTGAGGAGATATGCTTGGATGAAGCCCATTAACTGAGGTTTTTTAATTGAACACGTATGGTCAGGTCATAATTTTCAAGTATACATATCCTCCTAGACAAAGAAGCAGTTGCTGATATTTGGCTTTATTTTGTTCTTTGTCTCTCTTTCTCTCTCGCTCTTCTTCCCCCTCCCTCTCTCCCTTTCATTTGTTTAGTTCTGGGGACCAAACCCAGGGCCTTGTACTTGCTAGGCTAGTGTTCTATTACTGAGCTAAGCCCTAGCCCCTCATTCTCGGCTGTAATTTTCAGCAATTGAGGTGGCAGGAAGAGCAGGAACTAGGGATGTAGAGAATCTGGGTTCTACTTTCTTGGTCACATTGTTAGATAGGGCATTTGGATACTCTTAATTCTAATGTTTTATAAAGTTTGATTTATACTTGAAATAAAGCACTGTTTTTGGAAGTATTTGTGCAATACATTTTAAAGAATGAACTAGGTAAAATAATAGGGGCTGGTGAGATGGCTCAGCGGTTAAGAACACTGACTGTTCTTGCAGAAGACCCAGGTTCAAATCCCAGCACCCACATGGTAGCTCACAGCTGTCTGTAACTCCAGTCCAAGGGATCTGACAGCCTCTTCTGTCCTCTGCTGGCATTGCATGACACACGTGCAATTACCTACATGCAGACAATATATGCATACACATAAAATAAAAATAATAAATATTACAAAAAAACTCATCAGGTGAAGATTTATTTACCCTCTCTGTATCCATTTTTCCTTTGTATTGCCTTGCTCATGCTACCTCAAAATGTAGGTGGCACCTTCATGATTCCTTTGGGAAACCAAAGCCTTTAGAGACATTTATGTTTATTTTCAGTGTTTCTAGTCTTTCCTGTGTTCTTAATAATGTTAATGATCTTTTCTAAGTAGATTCTTTTATCTATCTAACTGCTATAAGCCAGGACTTCTCAGAAGTTAGTGTGCATGTCAGTTCCCTGTGGGGAAGAGCTGCCTTAAGCTGCAATTCTTATCTTGCAGGTTTGAGATGGGTCAAAGCCTGCATTTACAACAGTATTTAGGTGCTGTTCTGTTCGCTGGACTGCACTTTGATGAAAAGCCTAAACCAACTCATTGAAATAGGAAACAGTTTTTAAAAACTTATTTTTATTTTATGAGCATGAGTGCTTTGCCTGCATGTATGCAAGTGTACCACATGTATCTAATGCCTCCTGAGGTCAGAAGAAGGTGTCATATCCCTTGGAACTGGAGTTATAGATGGTCATTAACTGCCATGTGGGTGCTTGGAATGGAACCTGGGTCCTTTGCAAGAGCAGCCAGTGCTCTTAACTGCTGAGCCATCTTTTTAACCCCTAGAAAACAGTTCTAATAGTTAACTATTTTTACGTATCCTCTCACAAACCAAAAGAACTTTTGGTTCTGAGACTTAGCATTCACCTTTCCTTCCCTGTATTTCCCTTGTTTTTCCATAGTCAGCAGCCATTACAATGATAAAAGTTTGTAGTGGTTATGGAGCACTGTTCTCAACTGTACTGTTGCCTTTTTCTTTTTACTTTTTTGGTCTTTTTGAGACAGGATCTCCCAGTAGCCCCAGCTGGCCTGGAACTCACTATGTAGAACAGGCTGGCCTTGAACTCACAAAGATCTGCCTGCCTCTGCCTCCCGAGTGCTGGGATTAAATATCTGGTTCTTGTCAATAACTAGATTTTTCAAACAGTATGTACAGTGTGATCAAGATTTTGAACAAACCGGGTGTGGTGGTGTACACCTTTATCCCAGTACTCGGGAGGCAGAGGCAGGCAGATCTGAGTTCAAGGTCAGCTTGGTCTACATAGTGAATTCCAGGCCAGCTGGGGCTACAAGGGAGACCCTGCCTCAAAAAGACGAAAAAAAAAAAAAGAAAAGAGTGTGGTGGCACATACCTATAATCCTAGCATTCAGGAGGTTGAAGGTCTTGAGTTCAAGGCCAGTCTGGGCTATTGTGAGACCTTGTATCACAAAACAAAGCAGGGCCAGTGAGGTGGCTCAGCAGGTTAAGGTGCTTGCTGCTCAAGTTTCATGATTTGAGCTCCATCCCTCCGGCCTGTGGTAGAAGGAGAAAGCAAAAGAAGACATAATAATCCCATACTTTAAAAAAATGATTTTTGTAAATGCTGAGGATTGAACTCAGGACCTCAGTCCTGCTAGGCAAGTGCTTTACCATTGACCTACCTCCCCAGTCCTATGAAACTGGAAACTCAACAGACTCAGGCAATTAAGGATGGTACTTAAAGTGGGAAATTGCTGCCTAGATAGGATATGCAAGCTTATATATGCACTTTGGTTTTCATAAATGCTTGTTTGAAAAATGAGTAGAGAATTGATGCAGATGGTATAGTCCATTAGCCTGTCAAGGTTTATACTGTGGTTAGAGACGGTCTAAAGGTGCATTAACCAGCACTTCCCTGTAATACAAGGCTTCTCTATATTTTAAAAAATTCTTCTGATCTAATCAGTATTTGCATTTAGCAACTTAACCTGTCTTTTGACTAAGCAATGTGTTTACATGGTACAAAAATCCAGGATGTAATTTGGGATGGTTGTGTATGCCTATAATCCCAACACTTGAGGCAAGACTAGCAGTTGATCAGGAGAACATACTGAGTTCAAGGCCATCCTGGGCTTAAAAATAATTAAAAATTAAAAAAAACCCAAAAAACCTATGGCCATTTTTCAGTATATACAAATGAGTGGATAGTGGAAAATCTGCTCTCTGGCTTTCTTCCCTTGAGTCAGCCAACTATTCCCATTTTTATGTGTCCTTTCTATTAGGCCACTTTGTAATGAGTAACTTGACTCTTAGCATTCTGGTAGTAGAGTCAGTGTGAAATGACGTGTTCCTTTTTAAATGAGTAAGTTGATTCTCAGTTACATATATCCCATTTTGAGAATCTGATCAGTTTTCTAATCAGTTTTCTGCGGGCTGGAGAGATGGCTCTGGTTAAGAGCACTGACTGCTCTTGAAGAGGACCTGGGCTCGATTCCTGCATGGTGGCTACGAACCATCCTTAACTCCAGTTCCAGGGGAATCCGAAACCCTCTTCTGACCTCTGTGGCATTGCATGACATGGGTGCATTCACATACATGCAGGCAATACACTCGTACACATAAAATAAAAATAATAAAATATATTTTTTTTAAAGTTGTGAATTTCTTTTCACTTTTAGTTAAATAGCAAAGTTATATACAGTGTTAAAGATTATCCTTCTGTTCAGAGGTGGCAACCAAATAGTTTGGCCATCTTTAATGGCAGTGTGTTTTCCTCTTGTTTATGAACTGCAATGACAGTGTAATTACCCTTTTAGTTAATAGGAGGTTTGACTGATTACATTTGGAAAATTAGTTGATGTGTTTAGAGAGTTGATTCTCTGGCCTACAGTTGAACTGATGAATGCTAACCAAGATGGTTTGCCAAGCACTTTGTGGTCACCTTATGTTTGGGTCTTATGTGTAATCAGATTTGTTCAAGAGTCTAGGTTTTGCTTAATATGTAGCTCATTGACCTTTTTAAAAGAAAACTTGATTGTTAGTGAAGATAGGTTTCTTGAAAATCGTATTAAATCTTATTGATTCATTTTCTTTCTTAGGTTTGAAAGAGAAAATAGTGAAGCGCTTTGAAGTCTCACCAAATGGTTCCTTCTTGCTTATAACTGGCATTGCTGGATTTTCTCATTTGCTTTCGATGAAGGTAAAACATTAGTTACTGCTTATTTTTGTATTAGCCATTAGAGCTAGGGCTGGGATTAGAGGTGGTCTTGAACTTTAACTCTGTGTTTTTAATTCTGCATGCCAAGCAGGACTTGGGGAGAAGCTGTGGGCAATTGGAGAAAAACTTTTAACAATAAGAAAAACAGAGTCAGGTGCTTTCTAGGAAATAGAGAACAGTCTTGTAACAGTTGGTAAATAGTAATTACTCTTTTAGACCAAAGAACTGATTGGTAGCATGAAAATTAATGGAAGAGTTGCGGCATCCACATTCTCTTCAGATAGTAAGAAGATCTATGTTTCTTCAGGTAAGTTAATGACATGAGAGACTTTGGATATATTTTTATGCTTCAAATTTTACAGAAACCAGTTGGCTTTCTAGTTTTTGTTTTGGTCAGAAATTTAGATATATTTGGAATTTATTTTTGTTGCCATTTTCCAGGTCAGTTAAGAACTAGTAATAGTGAAGGACCAGTCATTTAACATGCAATGGTAACATGTTTGATGCTGCTTTATCTATACCCTTACTCCAACATTGGAAAATTGTCAAGGAAGTAATTAAAAGCAGGAAATTTGCTGAATTTTTATTGGGAGTGTAAAGTTAAATATAGAAAAGGATAGAATGAATAGAAGGTGAAGAGCCATCTTTGAGATAGATGTGGGATCATTATAGTGGGTGTGATCAGAGGGAAAGGGAGAGGGCTTGTAAGTATCAAGTGCTGTAGGAACAAGAACAGGATTAAGGACTGATTTTGATGATCAGATGATCATTTTCATCATGAAAATATTTGTGATCTCTTTGTATTTAATATTCTTTCTCCAAGTTATTTGTGGTTATTGCTTACGTTTTACATTATTTTGTAAATGACTTGAGTATATAAATTGTACATCTTTTAATTTAAATTTTATTTTTTATGTGTGAGTGTATTTGCCCATATGTGTGTTGTGCACCTGTGTTGTACAATGCCCAAAGAGGCCAGAAGAGGGCATTGGATCTCCTAGAACTAGAGTGTGGGCAGTTGTTAGCTGCCATATGGGTGCTGGGAACCAAACCTGAATCTTCTGCAAGAGCAACCAGTGCTCTTAGCCATGTACTTCTAGCCCCTGTACATGCCTTCTTAATTACAAATTCTTTGTGGTCAAGATTAGTTCATTGACTTTCTCTTCTCCCATCATTATCATTAAAAATTTGTTATTTAGCTGGGTATGGTGGCACATGTCTTAAATCCAGGACAGCCTCGTTGTGAGCTCTTCACTAGCTGGGGCTAGGGAGACCCTGTGTCAGAAAAAAAAAAAAAAGACTTGTTTTATATCTCCTAGCCTTATATATTAGATACTCTGATGCTTTTTGGTATTTTTCGCCTTTTATGTTTTGGTTCCAGTAATTTATTTGAGCAGAATATAACAGCTTTTCCTTAAAGTTCACCTCAAACTAAGATTGTGATTTTTTTTTTTTTTTCCCACCTTAGACCTAAGATTACTCTTTTTTCAAATGGAGGGTAATTTGAGCCTGTATCTTTAGTCATATGTGCTATTAAATGGGACTAAAGAGGTTAATTTACTTGCCTTTTAAATTTAAAGCAAAATTAGCTGATGCCTTCTTTGGTTTTTTTTTCTTTCCAGGGGATGGAGAAGTTTACATTTGGGATGTGAATTCTAGGAAATGCATTAACAGATTTGTTGATGAAGGCAGTTTATGTGGATTAAGCATTGCTACATCAAGGAACGGACAGTATGTGGCTTGTGGGTGAGTGAAAAGAATCACATTGTGCTAATGGGAAAATGTTTAACAGTTGAATATACTAGATGGCGCATGACTTTATAGACAGCTCAGCAATATGAAATCATTACTGAAACCTAGGTGAGTCCTTTGCTATTTTGTCATGATGCAACATATAATAATGTTAGATTATTAGCTTTTTAGCAAAGAAAATTCTGAACTACCTTCAGTTATTGTGGGTTTTTTTTGTTGTATTGTTTTTTTGAGACAGGGTCTCCCTGTAGCCCCAGCTGGCCCAGAACTCACAGAGATCTGCCTGCCTCTGCAGATGCTGGGATTAAAGGCATGTGCTACCCCGCCCAGCATATTTTCCTGAATTTAGAATATTTGTCGTTAATGAGGAGGTAGAGTAACTCAACTTTGAATTTAAATCTTGAAGATTAGCTAGCTACGTGGTTTAAGCCAAAAACATATTCTTTGGAAGTACTGTTTGTTAGTATGGTAAACACATAAAAAATATTGCCTAAAACATGTTATTGTGTTTATTAGTGGGGAAAAAAATGGTTAATATATTGGGGAAAAGATGACTTTATTTTCCTGCTGGCTTCTAAATAGGTGGATGGAGGAATAGCATACTTAATGGTAGTTCTAAAGTAACTTACAAGACTACTAATGAGCAAGCGTAATTTTGTACAAGAAATATGTTGTGACCTTAGGCCAATTACAATTCAACTGTAAAGAGATGACAGTTAAAAGTTCCCTGGAGTGAGATGTCAAGTGGGTCTAACTGTCCAGAAAAGTAGTATACTCCTCAAGGTTAAAATTGGGAAAGCTGCTTTAAATAGCCCCAGCAAGCCTGGAAGAAACGCAAGTAGGAGTGAGCAGTGGAATTTGGAGGCCACAGTAGCATCTTGTGGATGCTCCTTAGGGCTGGGACACTGATGTGAGTGTATGTGAGTGGCCTGATTAAGTTTACTGTCCTTTGTTACTCTTAGTCACCATGGGGCAAGCCTGCAGAGAGGTGAGAGGTGTATCTCAGCACAAGACATGATCTCCCTGTAGCCCCATGGGCCTGGAACTTGACCAGACTGGCCGCTATCTCACAGGGATCTGCCTGCTTCTACCTCCTAAATGCTGGGATTGAAGGTGTGCGCCACCATGCCCAACATCCTCTGGTTCTTATGTTCTTTCTGCCTCTTCCTCCATGATGAGCTTTGGTGTGGGGTGATAAAAATGTCTCATTTAGGGGCAAAGACTCAACACATTCTCCAGTTATGAGTCTTTGCTTTGGCTGCTGCCCACTACAAAAGAAGCTTCTTTTGCCAGGCTTGAGAGTAGGTTGGTATATATTTTTAGAGCACTTTGCCCTTAATCCTTTGGATGTCACTCTTGAAACATACTGGGCAAATCATTTTAGACTAACTTTTCACTTTGTAGAGGGGCTTGCCTACTCTAGTCATTCTGTAACACAGCCAAAACTGTTGACTGCCTCTTCACAGCTGGCCTTTCCAGGTGCAGTGCTCATCCCATTAGGCAATGTCTTGTGAAGTGTTCCTTCACTGCATCTTGTATAAGTATAGTCATATGCTCCGTTTTGTGAATTGCTGTCTGGTCTAGAAGCAGGTCATTAGGAAAGTACTTGAGTGCCCCCATATGCATAAAGCAGTGCATGCTGAGAAGCAGGAAAGAGTTGAGATTTGTCATCTCTCTTCGATGAACATGTTAACTAGCCATGTACAGAGACCCTTATGACCTCTGTGGGTAACTTAGATTCAGCACCCTGTAAGGGGACTTAGAGAATCCCTTTTTATCTTGCCGTGGCACAGATTGCTAGCTTGGGCTGCTGACTTTACTAGGAGTTTGCAAACTATAAATCGCATTCATTCATTCATTCATTCATTCATTTATTTTTTTGACTTTGAGACAGGGTCTCCCTGCAGCCTCAGCTGGCCTGGAACTCACAGAGATCTGCCTGCCTCTGCTTCCCAAGTGCTGGGATTAAAGGCATGTGCCACTGAAGCCCCTGGCGCTTTTAAATCTTCAAATTGTATTTGTATTTATGTGTACAGGTGTTTTGCCTGCATGTATGTAAATACACTTATATTGTGCAAAACCTGTACAGACCAGAAGAGGGTGTTGAGCCCCTGGAATTGGAGTTAGGGATGATTGTTGGCCACCATGTAGGTGCTGAGAACTGAACCTGGGTCCTCTATGAGAACAGCCAGTGCTTTTAACCCCTGAGCCATCTCTCTAGCCCCTATAAGTTGCTTTGAGGTACATTTTCTCAGCTTTTTCATCAAAGCCCTGGCAATATCTGTTTTTGTGTTTATATTTGAGGCAGGTTCTCATGTGACTAAGGTTGGCTTTGAACTTCGGATTCTCCTTTCTCTACCTCCAGAGTGCGGGGATTATAGGTGTTCATCATCACACCTGACTTATTTTATGTTTTCCATTCAAAGTTCTGTCAGGTGATTAAAGATTGTTGACATTAGTTTTCATTAGGTTTTAAAAAATATGTAGGTTGTCTGGTGGTGAACAATTGGTAATCCATCAAAATACCAGATGAATGAAATGCTAGAGGGAAGATGGAAGCAGAGCCATGGGAGTAGAGTTTAGTCTTAGATATTTGACTCTTTCTAACTTGCTTGCCTGAGGTTCTGCATGAGATTTGTGACTAGAGTGACTCTGTCTGTGTCATTGTGGATTTTTTTTTTTAATATTTTATTTATTTCCTCCCTTCTTCCCTCCCTCCCTCCCTCCCTCCCCCCTTTTTCTTTCTTGAGACAGGGTCTCCCTGTAGCCCCAGCTGTCCTAGAACTTACTATGTAGACCAGGCTGGCCTTGAACTCAAAGAGATCTGCCTGCCTCTGCCTCCCAAGTGCTAGGATTAAAGACGTGTGCCACCACAGCTCGCTGTTATTTTTATTTTATGTGTATGAGTGTATTGCCTGCATGTATGTGAGTGCACCCATGTCAAGCAATGCTGCGGAGGTCAGAAGAGGGCTTCGGATTCCCCTGGAACTGGAGTTAAGGGCAGTTCGTAGCTGCCAAGTGGGTGCTAGGAATCAAGAGCAGTCAGTGCTTTTAACTGCTGAGCCATCTCTCCAGCCCCCTTTGTGGGGTTTTTGAAGATTTTTTTTTATTTAAATGTGTGTGAGTGCTTTGCTTATATGCACATATATGTACCCTGTATGTGCTTGATGTCTGTGGAGGTCAAAAGAGGGCTTTGGAGCCCAGGAACTGGAGTTAGAGTTGTGAGCTGCCATGTGGGTGCTGGGAACTGAACCCAGAACTTCTGGAAGAGCAGCCAGTGCTCTTAACCTCTGAACCATCTCTCCAGCCCCCTCCCTCTCCTTTTTTAAGAGATAGGTTCTTGCTATGTCATACAGGCTGGCCTGTCAGTGTACCATCACACTTGACTTTTTTTTTTTTCCTTCCTACATTGGGGTTGGGGCTCTCTGTTGCTTAGGCTGGTCCCTGACTCTTGGGGCTCATGTGATCTTCCTTCCTTATTCTGCTGGGTAGCTGACACTATAGGCATGAAATACTATGCTGAGTTTGGAATTCTTGTCACATAGTTCCAGCATCTGATTTATCTTGGTGTTGGAACTAGTTATCTTTTCTCGTTTCGGTTGTCAATATCTGGGTTTTGGTATGACATGTTATCTTATATTCTAGACATTTTGGCATTTTTGTTCGTTAAATGTGCCACTGTGTGACTTTGTGACTTTTGTTTAATTTCCTGAGATAGGCTTCTGACTTGCTGTGTAGCTGAGATGATCTTGAACTCCTGGTCTGTCTGCCTCTACCACCTGAGTGCTAGGATTACAGACATAGGACACCATACCCAGCCTAGCTTTGTGATTTTTGTTGTTGTTGTTGTTGGTGGTGGTGCTGGGAATTCAACTTAGGGCCTCTTAAATAAATGCTAAGCAAGCATTCTTCCATTAAGCTACATCCCCAGTCCTGTGTCTCAAATTCTGTTTTTTTAGGTAGCTTAGCTGTGTAGCCTAGTCTGATGTCAAACTTGAGATCCTTTTGCCTCAGATTCTGAGTGTTTTTGGTATAGGCTTGTGCCACCCTTTATTTGAGAAGTAGACTTTCTCAGAACACATTCACATGTCTACAAAGGAGACAGATAGTTGGTACAGAGTCTGTGCAAAGACTAAATTAGCATTCAGGCAATCAGGAGTAAGGTAGCCTTTGTGATTGGTCTGTTTACGAATCCCCAAGTAGTAGTTTCTGTTCTGCTGGTGTGGTGCTGTAGCATCTCTTGCTGTCTTCTTTTATAGAGCGTGTTGTCCTTACCAGTATCTTTCACCCTTATTTCTCCAAGTATGGCACTTAACCCAATGATAGCATCAGAATACCTAAGGTGGTAGTTAAAACCAAGATTTCTTGGCTGTACTCCAGTTGTGTGAATCAGTGCTGGGGTGCAGGAGGAGGGTATACAAAGGTGCAACCTCTGCTTTTTTTAAAAATTATTAATTTTTTTGTTTTTATTTTTTGACAGGGTCTTCTTAGTCCCAGGCCAGGACTAAGGATGTGGACCAGGGTGGCCCCGATCTCACAGAGATCCACCTGTCTCTGCCTCTCGAGGACTGGGATTAAAGGCGCATGGCACCACAGCTGGCGTGCAGCCTTTACTTTTTATATTGTTTGGGAACTATCACCCGTTTGTAGATATATTCTTTTTTTGACCTCAGTACTATTGATAATTGGGGCAGGATAATTTATTGTGATGGGGACTTCCTTGTTCTAGGTATTAGATACAGTATTAGGACTTCATCGCCTTTCTCCCTTGATTTGTAACCACTTGTAATAGTCACAACGTTGACTCTAGTCATTGCCAAATTCCCTAGAAGGAAACCTGTTTTTTTAACTTAGAGCTTTTTCTTGCTCATACTATTAATTTGTGTGTGAACCCCTCCATCCCATGTTCCTTTCTGTATCTTCAGCTTCAATGCCATCATCCCACTTGGTGCTACTTTCCAGTCTCACTTCATAAGAGGCATTGGTCTGGCTAA